TATATATATATATATATATATATATATATATATATATATATATCTTTGGTACGATAAATTGGAAGTAATATAACTTTTATCAATACTGAGGTGAGAATATAAGTATAAAATTAAAAACCTGATTATTTCATTATTATTTTTCATTGAATTCATAGAATATAAATATAATTTTGATTAATGTATAGCTTGGAGAAGTATATTAATGAAGAAAAAAATACTGAAGAATGAACAAACGAATTATCTCAGGTGCTTTATTAAAATACTGAGAATAGTATTTCCACAAAATGCTTTATTTTATTAGTGGGAGACTTATCCTAAAGGAAATCCTGTACGTTAAAAAAAGTACAAGTTTAAAATAATAAAATGGAGCCAAAAGGAGTTTATTTTAAATATAATTTAAAACACTTTTAAAGAATTGTTTCAAAAAAGAACCAAAAGGGTAATCCTATCCCTGTCTCCACTTAAAATTAGCCCCCTAGTGGCTTCGTTTTTCTTTTCAAAGGGAATTTAAAAAAAAACTCATCCTAGGAGACTGACTCAGGAGGACTAAAATACAAGAAGTTGATGTTATCGAGAAAGAAAAATCTGAGAGAAATCTAGTAATAGCTAACTACAAATTGGCAGCCTGCATGACAGTCATAAATTATTAACATTGATGTTATTAATATAATAATCTTTAATATTACTATTATATTTTTATTCCACCTTTTAGTTACACACACATACACAAAAGCAAACAATGCCCTTGTCTCTGATTTTCTTCAGAACAATAACCTTGTCAGGTGGGTTAGACTGAGAGTGAATGACTCCTCTGAAGTCACTCAGCCAGCTTTCATCCCTAAGAGTATTATCCAGATTGTAGGCCTGTGGAGATGACCTAGAGGTGCATGACAGAGACAATGTCTTCTTTGTTTGGGCAAGGAGGCAACATGACTTGCCTCAGGGAACCTTTTGGCATCCATTTGAAGGTTTCCTGTTGTATCTTGCTTTTCTCAGCTGCAAACTCAAGAAAATGACATCAGCAGGATTGGAGAAGGCTAAGAGGACTACATTCTCTTGCAGTTTCCTTCTAGTCTTCTCCAGTATTCGCAAAAGCCAAAATAGGCTTCTGGGCAGCTACATGCAGAAGCCTTATCTGACTTCCCCAAGTGGTGAAGGATGCTGAGGAAAGGCTGCAAAGTGGAACAGTCTGGAACAACAAGGTCGCTTCTCTTTACAAGAAATGGCTTGTTGCTTCACAAGCAGCTTCAAAGTAATGCTTCTCTCAAATTTTTGAAGCATCCTTTTCTAGAAATGCGTGATCTCAATGCGCAGTGCACTTGAACAAAAGTGTATCCATTTCTATGGTTGATAGAAAGGCTGAACCTTGAAGAACTCTAGCTAGTAACACTAACAATGCAACCCTCACATCTCCTCAGAAACTTAGGATCAGAGCAGTTTAAGGATGGATACCTTAAAATGGGTTCCCTGCTAAGGATATAGGGAAAATCTCCACGGACAGTACTGACAAGATGCCAAACTGCAGGATAAATATTTGTTCTGATATCTGCAAGATCTCACATTGAAGGATTTGGGAATGTCTTACAAAGAACATTTCCACCACTCTGATGGTGGAAACTCTGCACGTTCCTAACAGCATTAGACAACTCTTCACTGGATGGATCTCAGATTTTTATCTGTACCAAGGGAAAAAAATATCAGAAAATGGAAAGCTTTTGCTCGTATAGTTAAGACTGCCTTGTTTTGGTTCCAGATTACAATGACAAAGCTGACAGAATGAAATTCTCCCTCAAAATTGTAGCGTGACTATAATAGTTTAAGGCTACCTTCAATTCAGTACCTAATGTTTACAAAGGTACAAACCTTATGGTATTATAAACGCTGTATCTTTAAAGGTTTTATTTTAACCAATTATTCAGTAAATAGTATCATGAGATTCCAATGGGCCAGATCTAGAGATTATTTACCTCCATCAAATATTTCTTTTCCTGTTAGATAAATAACAATGCATCATTTATTTCTGTGGGCTTATGGAAGAACCTAAACAAGGAAGGAACTTCTCTAGACTGACAGGTGGACAAGATGAACTTGAAAGACTTGTATTAATTCTCTTCCACTTCCAATTTACTACCCATGTTTGTCGATGACTTAATTCGTTTTCTTAAACTCCATTCCTCAACCTGAATCTCCTGACATCCCCTGCATCCATTCCACCACATCTAAGACCTTACTGCCTACAACTAATTTTGAAGCAATAAAGTTATGATCCTTTGATCCAACCTATTTCTTTGCCATCACTTTCTGTAACTAAAGCAAATGAAGCATACAATATATTTGCATCAACATAAAACAGATTTCCATCCTAATCCAATATATTTCTTCTGTGGAACACCATCCCAACAAGATCTATATTCTCATCCCTGGCATCCAGAAAGCATCTTTAAAGAATTGAGACATGAGCAGGTTTATAATTAGTTTTAAGGAGACCCAGTTTGGTTTAGTAGTTAAGGAACCAGGCTAGAAACTAGGAGAAATATGAGTACTACTCCCACCGACATGAAAGCTAACTGGGTGTCTTTGGGTAGGTCATTCACTCTCCCAACCCACATAGTCAATTCCTGTTGCAACCAATGAATCAACACTTGGTTGATTTTAAAAAAAGAAACAGACCCTGTACTTGTGGGTAAATGCTAGGAAGGAAAAAAAGTATGCCTAGTTTCTTAAGTGCTTTCATTTTTATGTCATATAGTTTTAATTATTTGCTAGTAATACAAAATTATAATTTGTACATTTGTTTTATTTCATAGAACATTGCTATTGTGAGCTGCTTAGCGCCTTGATGACTCAAGAAGCAGAAACGCAACTGTACTCAATCAGTCAGTCAATCAGTCAGTCACAGTCCTTTACGTCAATCCAGTGTCTGCCTAACCTTATAAATCAGGCTATTTTTTCACAGAAACACAATTCCATAATGTAAAAGAGATGAAGTTACATTATACATCAGGGGTGTCAAACCCACTCAATCACGGGCCGTATCATGACGTATCACAATGTTTTTTTTTCCTTTGCGGAGCAGCGATGGGCACGACATGCATGGGGCATATCTAGTCTACAGGCCGCCAGGTTTGACAGGCCTGCTATAGATCAAGGATGTCCAACTTTGGCAGTTTTAAGACCTCTGGATTTTAATGCTGACTGGGGAATTCTGGGAGTTGAAGTCCACAGGTCTTAAAGTTGCTATGGTTGGATATTCCTGCTTTAGATTATTTGGGATGTTACAAAGAAATGGCAGTAAAGGGAGCATCATAGACTGTTTTCTCTCCCTGCTTTCTAGTTCTTATCTAAAAGCAGATAGTCTTGATTTCTCTTGCAAAAGATGCCTGTGACTTTTTCAGGAGATACACCTGTACATTTTGACAAGCATAACTCATATTGCATTCTCTCCCTTATTTCTTGGCATCTTCAATGTCACAATACCTACTTTTTTTGCACCATTACTATGTATATGGGGAGATGTGTCTCTAAATAATTTCAATTTAATTTAAAGAAACAGGTTAATTGATTTAACTTCTCTTTAGATAAAACATATTATGTTATACACAGTATACATTCCTCCCCTCCCCCCTTTGGTGGGAAAGATAAGAATTTAGCTTTTTGGTTCCTACTGTTTTCTAAAGCCTGATCTTAAGTCAGCTTACTCAGAAGTTTGCATTTTGCTGAAAGGGGCTTACTTCTGAGTAAGTATGTTTAAAATTATAGCTTCACCATGGCTGCCTTGTTTTGCTTCATCACCTGCACCTGGAGTATAATAAAAGTGTGGTGATCAATGTTTTCCATAGAGAACAGGAAAACAGAAAGTCAAGAAGGGACTTCGAGCACAGACAATTCAGTAGTGACATGCCACAGAAATGGAATTGAAGAGAAAGACTCCTAATGGAGAATTATCCTTAATCTTTTATCTTTTCTGTCATACACTTTTGCAACTCTTGTATGAAATTGCAAAAATGTTTTACAGGCATCCACAATTCTGATCTGGTCAATTAACCTATCAATCATACATTCACTTATCAATAGTTTTTCTGGCAAGTATTGTAGCAAGTATCAAGAAAACCAAGCAAGGGAAAAAATATGGACTTATCCATCGGAACAAATGCAACAATCCAATAGAAGTCCAAGTTTAACATAACAAGCCTACATAAGCTTGGTTCTGTGGAGGAGGAGTGAAAAAGGATGGTTCTGTTTTCCATTTCTACATCTTATATAGTACAATCTCTATGGAATAGACTGCTTTACTCAATCTGTTGTTGTGTAGCTGGTAACAAATTGACGGTTATAAACCCAGAACATTTATTTCAAAAAAATCCCTGAAATGTATGACCTGGTTTCAATGTAGATTTTGGTTTATAACTGAAAATCTAGAATTTATGGAGCTTACATTTCAATTTCTGTATTTCCATAATGTAATTTTGGCTAATTTAAGGGTTGAAAAGCCAAAATAAGAACTGCTTATTAAGAATTACTGGGAGCTTACTGTCATCCATATATAATACCTTTGATATTAATTGGGCACTGCACAGTAAAAGTAGTACATGTGGAAAATAAGAAAATTTGCTTCATTTGGGTAAATCTGTATGGTCCTCATAATATGGGCAAATGAACATTAAGAAGCAGAAATAGTAAGTAATACAGACTTACTTGTGCCTGAATGCAGAAACAAAGGAACAGTACTGGCAGCTGTACTTGTCTTCGCGAGTAAACATGGCCAAGGCCAAGTGACTCCTCTCGTGCGATCGTAGACCCTGCATAGACATCAAAACCCGATCACACTGGCTGCAATGGTAGCCACCAGGTCTGGTTTCATCTTCCAGTGATGGTCCAGATTCAGCTTCTGCAAGTTCCATAGTGGCCATATGGTCTTTGGCTCCCTCAATACCCTCCAAGAAAGCTGCATGTGAAGGTTCTTCAGCTTCCTGCTAAAAGACACATATCCCCCCCAAAGCCATCAATTCTCTCTCCCTTCTTCCCTATGGTTACCATTATATCTATGGAAGCCTATCAACTTCTTCTGATAGCAGTAAACTTGAAATCCAGCTATGAGCAGACATCCATGCAATCTGAGCAAAGATGTCTTGAAAAGCAACATACGGTTTTTAGTGGTGATCAGCATGGCTGGAGTGCACTCTGTTGCTAAAACCTTTTTTTTTTCTCCAGAATAATTCACTTCATTAGGTAGAAATGTCCCAATTTTGAGGCAATGCCAATATTCCTTACAGAGGTTTATTGGAGTGTTTCCAATAATACGTTCTTTTGGCTTCCTGAGGTAAAACTGGCACAAGGATACTACACTATAAGCCTTCAATTTTTTTGTTTTTGCCGATTTGCCCAAACAAATATTTTTCAAACTATTTAATTGGCAACTATATACTGGCTTCTATAGATCTGTTTAAAAAAGTCCAAGTTTGTGTAAAATAATCTAGATTTAATTTGGGGTGGGGATGAACAGGGGATAAGAAGAATATCAAAGACTACACCGTATTCGTTACTTTTCTCACCTACTGGGCACATTCAGCTTATTTGCATTAATTTATAAAATATATCAATCTGTCAGCCTTAAATAAAGATCCACAGATGGTTTACTAACCACCATTACCAGAAGGCATGCAAGCTCTGGTCGTGGCCTGTAAAAACTTGGGAAGGAAATAAACTTGTAGAAAACATTTACTGCCACATTTGAAGAAAAAGTATTTTTTCTATACAATAGCATGTATGCGTAAAAAGATAGGACACATAACAAGCAAAATGCAAATAAGGGGCCATTTGCAGTTAGGTTTCATTTATTGTACTAACATATCTCATACCAAGATTTAATTAATTAATTATCTCTAAATGAAAGCTAAATTTAAACTTAAGAGTATGTATATTTTCACTTAAAAACAGAAGTTCATGTTTTGCAGCAATTACAGGTGAATTATGTAGAAACTATAATAGCAATAGCAATAGCAGTAGACTTATATACCGCTTCATAGGCCTTTCAGGCCTCTCTAAGCGGTTTACAGAGAGTCAGCATATTGCCCCCAACAATCTGGGTCCTCATTTTACCCACCTCGGAAGGATGGAAGGCTGAGTCAACCCTGAGCCGGTGAGATTTGAACCGCTGACCTGTTGATCTAGCAGTAGCCTGCAGTGCTGCATTTAACCACTGCGCCACCTTGGCTCTTGCATAATGGACATGCAGGCCTTGATTTGATTATTTTTCATAATTTATTTTATATAAATTAATGCACAATAGGCAGTAATGTCCTAAACAGAAATGATAAGATTCTATACAAAACATTTATTTAAAAATAAAACATAGGAAGAAAGCTATAGAAGCAACACCGACTTCAGCCTTTTCTTTGGAAACTTTATGCAGCCAATTTTTCTGGCTTCTAAGGTTTTTACATCAAATAGTCAAGAGCAGCTTCTCATATAAAAGGAAGTAAAGAAAAGAGTTCGAAGCAAAAGCTCCTAGGGCAGCATATACCAAGACTTCCATCAGTAGCTTTCAGAAAACAGGTTGGCTACATCAGTGTAAAGCTTTTAGAGATGTTAGTATAAACCTTTTCTCAAGGTTCCACAAAAGAGCAATAACAATTTAGCATGTCTATTTATTGTAAGCTACCCAGTTTCGTTGAGAGTCAGGCAGCATATAAGTTTAATAATAATGATGCTTGGATCCGCACATATCAGATACGTTATGATATTCTACAGAAGAACTTAAAGCATATGAAGGCCAACACCAGCGAAAGATCTGGCAGCACTGACTTTACATTGTTGTATGTAGATAATAATATCAGGGGCAAGCTATCCAAATTAACACAATCAAGTCCAGAATTGGAAAAAAAAAACCACTTTGAATCATTGAATGATTCAAAGTGCAGTTTGGGCAAAGAAGCAGAAGAAAAAGTAGATCATATACTCAGCTTGTTGAAGATCATGCAAACTGATTATAAACAACGACATAAGATAATCACCAAAATGATTCACTGAAACGTCTCTACCAGTAATGAAAAAATTGGTGGGAACATAAAGTAGGTGAAAATGAGCAGGTTAAAGTATCGTGAGTTTTCAGAATACAAACTGATAAAGTCTTGGTTCATAGCACACTAGATTGTGTGTTTGAAAAGAAAGTGTGGGTAACGGATGTGGCAATTCCAGGAGATAATAGAATAGAAGACAAAGAATGGGGAAAAGATTGTAAAGTATCCCAATCTGAAAATTAAAGTTAAAAGATTATGGCATAAATCTATCATGGAGGTACCAGTGAATACTGGCACAAAGGGCTCCATATTAAAATGAATTAGAAATGTCAAAATTTCCAGTTGGAGTTACAAATGGCTGCACTGTTTGGATCCACACATGTGCTATGCTGATACTTTATAACATCCTAGATTCTTTTTTTTTGGGGGGGGGGGGAATTGATGTGAACGCCAACACCAGCAAACAACTGGCAGCTTTGAATTCACATTGTTGTGTTATAATAACATTTATATGGGTGCATACATTCTGCCCACAAGGAACTAGGCTTGAGTCCAATTAAAAAAAGGAAAGCTACATAGAAATCACGGCATAAATGCTGATATATATTTCTGATTGTGGTGGCGTCTGATCCACAAAAGCAGTTTGGGATTTCTTCTTCCTTGGATGAATCCAAGGATTTAAACCCAAAACAAACCCTTAAACTCACCTTGACTCCAGTAGAGACTGAGGAACCATTCCCATACTGGACATGTTTACGAAGATGATTGCAGATGGCGCGAAGAGTCGGATGAACTTCGACACAGAACTTACATTTGTATCCTACCACCTTCCTCTCTTTTAATTTCGAAACTTCTTCCAAGCTGCCAAAAGGCTGTAAAGCAATAAAACTTGAAACTTAATTAACCATTCCTTCTCTAAGTAAGTGCTTCTCATCCTTGGCAGTTTGAAAAACCTGTGGATCATTTCATCTCCCAGAATTCCTTAGGCAGCAGGGCTGCCTGGGGATTTCTGGGAGTTGAAATCCACACGTCTTCAACCTGCCAATTTCGAGAAACAATGCTCCAAACAACATCACAAATTTGTAGATTTAAATACAATGAGAGGCAGCATTATGCTGCTTCTTGGAATAAGTAAAAACTCTGAGATAGCATGAGTTTATTTTTAAAAAACTGATGTTTAAAAGTCCCAAAATAGATATAGCGTGCTATTACAATATTGATTCAAATCTTTGGGGCATGTAGAAAAACTCAACCTCAGTTGGCAGCATTCTTCTACTAGCAATACGAAATGGGACGGCAAAAGTTTGAGTTTGTATACAGAAAGAAAATACAAACATAAATCATCGAGTTTTCCCCACTCAAATAACATCCTTTTAACTGCTCTTTCTCTATGGGGAGCAAGTCTAGCAGTTATGCTTGTGAGCACCGTGAAATTTAATTGAGAATTTGTATGTCCTTCATAAGGATTTTTTAAAATAAAATTACTCACAGAAATCTCCCTTAATCTGGTGCTCTCTGTATCTGCAGGAGTACAGTTCCTAATTATTTAAATGTCAATCTCTTGATCAATGGAAGTCCCAAAGAGAAAGGTTTTTTTAAAAAATATATGATTTTCAAAATAAAGTGAATCTTTTGCACCTTAATGCAGAGAGCTAATAGCTAATACAGGTAGTCCTCGACTTACAATGGAGCCCAACATTTCTCTTGATACATTTGTTAAGTGAATTTTGCCCCATTTTACAACCTTTCTTGCCATAGTTGTTAAGTGAAACATTGCAGTTGATAAGTTAGTAACCCAGGTTTTAAGTGAATCTGACTTTCCCATTGACTTTGCTTGTCAAAAGGTCACAAAAGGTAGATCACATGACCCTGGGACACAGCAGCGGTCATAAATATGAACCAGTTGCCAAGCATCTGAATTTTGATCACATGATCATCGGGATGCTGCAAAGGTTGTAACTTTGAAAAGCGGTCATAAGTCACATTTTTCAGTTGCCATTGTAACTTTGAATGGTCACTAAATGAACTGCTGTAAGCCGAGGGCTACCTGTAGTATGTACAAACATTTCAGACAAATATGCTGTAAAAGTAATAAACGCTGAATCATTCCGATCAAACACGATCTCTTCAGAATCTGTGGCCATGAAGTTTTTCTTAACTTCACTGTTTTGATCATTCTGATCCTTTTTCCAGAATGCTGAACCATCATGATCATTTCTGCAATCTGCCATATTCTTATTTCTTTCCTCACTAAAAATATCACTCTCAAGACTATATTCCATTGAGATCTCATTTGAAAATAATTCCCCTGCAAAACCAGAAGGTAGCTTTTGATCCAATGAGATGCATTTATCATTTCCCTTTTCTCTCTAGCACCAACTTGCTAAAACATCTCTCTGTATGACAGAATGCCATTAAGAGCAAGTTTTATTACACATGACATTCACTCTTTGACGACTTCCAAAAGAGGCACGTTCTTCCACGATATCATCAAGCAAACGAAGCATTTAATTTCATATACAGTTCATTTAAAGAGATTGGTTTACATCCACAGATACAAAGGGCTTTGAACTGGATTTTCTTCTCAATTATTTCCTTGCATTCTTGATATTTGTTCAAGAGCAAAAAATATATTTGACATGGGGACAGAGGAACA